ACACCCGACTGTAGACACAGTCATCGGTTTGCAGATGCCTTGGGGACGAGACTGAGACTGCCCAAGATCCACTGTGGAGACGAGGTGTACACTGCTGATGCCAAATTCGTCTACGATGTGATCTGGAGATGAGGCATGGTCTGCTAGTGATCAACTGCGGGGACCGAGTCCACACTACTGGCGATCAGCTGTGAAGAAGAGGCCGACAATCCCGGCGAACCATCGCAGGAAAGCAGCTTAGACTTTTGAAGAACGACTGTGGAAATGCAACTACTTCGTCACGACCATGACCGAGACAAAAGAGATGAGAAACGAAACATCGCGATGTAAATACAACACACTCAACCAAAATTACTGAGGCAGAAAACCTACAGTGCGCGTGCCTCGTCGAGAAGCTATCGGAGTAAAACAAAAACTACAGCCATGAGAGCACGACCCTAAAAGACCAGTGGCCCAGCGAATAAGGCCTGGTTTCACAAATGTGGGGATAGATATGTTCTTACATACCAAGTACCTTTGTGTTCTGTGCACCCGAACGCGGGCGAGAAAGTCAATCCAAGAGCAGCGACTTACCAAAATGTTTCAATTGTTCACACAGGGGGTGGGGGTCAAGCAACATTTCGAGCCATAAAACCTACCTCAGTTTTGAATCTTTGATGACGACAGCAAGGAGGCTAAAAACGATCATATTTCTGGCAGTGATGATACTCTGTAAATGTGCTGCGAAATGATACACAAACATTACCAAACAAAAATAACGCAGAATGGGAAAACGCAGCTTCAAACAACGCGCTTCCTGTCGGCTTGCATGCCGTCATTTAGTTTAAACACCCCCCTATACTATGCCCGGACAGTGCCTTCGCACCAGGATCCCGCGGCCGGTTTTCTGGCACCGTTCCCCGACGGAAACGTCGATCAGAATCAGCGACGTCGTCGATGCTCAACAGCTGACGGGGCTGATACAAAACACACCTGCGAGCGCAGTCATATTAGAAATGTCTAAAAAAGAAAGCTACGGAATGACCCCTCCTGACACTGACGGGCCAATATGCGGGGCGTGCGGCGTTGTGTGTCAGCAAGCAATACAGAGATCACTCACGCCTGCCCGTATGGGTTGACAATCATCAAAGATTTATGACGCAATTAGCCACGTGTCTGATGCCAAGACTACCAGGTTCTGGCCCAGGGCAGAACTTCAGTTGTTGAAACTTGCTGCGCACACAGCACCACGTAGCCGCATGCGATGTGCTAAGTTGTTTTCATCAAAAATCAGTAATTTAGGCGACATGGGAGGCTCTCGAATACGCCAGGCAGTCTCATTTCCAGATCATTAGGTCTTACTTCAAAATTGGCACTCCTATCCAGGAAGCGAAGAAATAACGCCACTCATTTCATAGGAAATTGTTTTTCTTCCAGAGCTCGCGACGGAGCACAGAGACGTGCATGAAGTGGCATGAATGGCAAGGAGGGACTAAACAAGGCACCAGCATGTGGTGAGCTAGTGACTGCTAAGGTGATGAGCTTGTAGTAGACGGCAAGTGAATCGCCCAGGGGCTGCCTGGTGTCTTGGCTTCTGTGGTGCGTCTTCGGGCAACAGCTGGGGCTGCCTGGTGTCTCAGCTTCCATGGTGCGTCTTCGGGCAACAGCTGGGGCTGCCTGGTATCTCAGCTTCCAAGGCTCATCTTTGGGCAATAGCTGGGGCTGCCTGGTGTCTCGGCTTCTGTGGTGTGTCTTTGGGCGACACCTGAGGCTGCCTGGTGTCTTGGCTTCCGAGGTGCATCTTTGGGCAACAGCTGGGGCCGCCTGGTGTCTTGGCTTCCATGGTGCATCTTTGGGAAACAGCTGGGGCTGCCTGGTGTCTTGGCTTTCATGGTGCATCCTTGGGCAACAGCTGGGGTTGCATGGTGTCTTGGCTTCTGTGGTGCATCTTTGGGCAACAGCTGGGGCTGCCTGGTGTCTAGGTTTCTGTGGTGCATCTTTGGGCAACAGCTGGGGCTGCCTGGTGTGCCAGGTACTTGCCATGTACAGGTACTATGAGCCAGCTATGTAACAGTTTAGACTGAATGAGATGCTGACCTCTGGGAAGTGATGTCATCACCTGTCACATTGAAAATGAATAATCAACATCACACTATGTCTGATGGACTGCATGCCTGCATCCAATACAGTATCAGAGTATCAGAATATTATTTCCACTTGAATGCACTTGAAGTGCCAAGTCGGTACATAAATTAATGATTGAGGTTCGGCTCCAGGCTTATGCCATGGTAAATTATTAAGAGGCTCTTTCTGTGATCCAAGTGCTGTATTGGCACACCACTGTAGTTCAGCATAGCTTTCCACTCCAACCATTGTCTGCTGATAGACTGTGTGCAGTCTTGACATAAGTGTGACCATTCTGTAATCAAACCTGTCTCAATTTGCAACCTCCTGAAGCCAACAAACTTTCTTCATCACTGAAGCAGCAGTGTTTGGTCTCTCAGCTCAATAAACTCCATGCTAGACTGCTTATTGGAAAAAGCATGTGTAGTTCATCATTATGATTCATAGATGGCACTACACCTGCTAGCTTCATGACTGCCTCAAATAGCTCCTTAAAATAACCAAGTCATGAACAGCTGTGTTCACAGCCCGCCATATTAGTCTATGCTGCGAGAACATATTACAGAGTGTCTAGATGAGCACACCTAACACAAATTTCTGCTATCCTATACCTACACCAATTTATTACAATCAAAGCAAGGCTTTAAGAATACATACACTCTAAACCAGTCTCACTGGATTTGGTATAGACCACCATGCAAACAGCACATACTATCATGCATTAAAGAAATATAAATAAGAACATTATAAACATACAAGGAAGAGGACTTTGAGGTGATCTATAGCAAGGTGGTAGAGTCAGCTGAGTGTAATGCAAAGCTGAAATGACAACAATGGTGACAATTAAGGAATGGTACAAATGCCAACAGCAATGACACACTAAAGAAAGGGCACATGCCCTATAATTGTAGATCATGACAGCAAGCCTCATGATTTTATCAGCCTTTCCAGCCCTGCCCACAAATTAAAACTACACAATTGCTTTATGGTCAGATCAATTTCTACAACCATGTTTCTGACTATGTGGCAGGATACATACTCTTGTCCATTCAACAGTTAGTGCTAACAGACCAGGGCTGTGAGCAAAACCATATTACACATTCTGTTTGTAGTGTTGTGATCAAAGGAGAAGGGAAGTCCACCAACAGCAACCATGAAATATTTCAGTGAAACCACCTATTCTGGCTGAAGTATGCCTGTTTTTAATTCATGTGCTGTATTACATAAATTGAAGGGGCCTGATGCAAAATTGTGATGAATCTGCTCCAACAGATATCAAATGCTTTCTCTTGGGCATTTTAATTCACGTCACTTTACAACAGTTAGAAAAAAGTGAACTTACCATAATCACCAGAGTTTTTTGGTGGTATTCCAAGATCTGATTTGCTTTCTCCTGCATCTGGCTGGTGAGGGTTACTGTTACTTGCTTCATCCTGAGCTGCAGGTATTCTTGCCATAAGCTCTGAGCTCACACAAATTTTAACAGGAAATAAAGTTAGAGAATTGCAGACTGTGGCTTTAGTTACAGGTGAGATGTCTTGAGCAGACACAAATGCTTCAAAACTCTTAGAAATACCTGAAACACAAGGCACATACAGCACACCACAATGGAATGATAGATCTCCTTTCCCCACATACTGATCATGGAATATTTGCTCACTTCTAAATATGTCGTTTGAGCCAAGCACTTGTACACCATTCACGATTCCCCACATGGCAATGTCAGTTTGAATGCACTGCACACCAATGTTGCAAACGTCACGCTGCCTTCAAGTCTGCACAACATGTCAAGGTGCACAAATGCTTCGTCTGCAGGCGATGACAAACTTCGGGCACCAAAAACAAGCGCAGGCGACCAAAACCTCTCTCACGTCAGAGAACCCGAGGAATAGAGACCGCCTCCTCTCTCCCTCGCTCAAGAGCCGAGTGCAAAGGCCTCCCGCAACTCTGCGCCACTGCACGCCGCAGGAAAACACGTGATATGCCTCCGAGTGGATCGATTGCAGTTCGTTCCTGGGCCCATTCGAGTTACGTAAGAAAGTTGAGAACTGACGAAAAGCTGTTTTCCGCGTTTTGAGACCGTGGGAAGAAAGCAAGGTATTACATACTGAAACAGTGGTTGTCTCTCTGAGTCCCAGCATTGCTGACTAGTGGAACAGCTCGCTTCGGTGGCTGCAAATGAGACCGTGGGAAGAAAGCGAGGTATTACATACTGAGACAGTGGCTGTCTCCCTGAGTCCCAGCATTGCTGACTAGTGGAACAGCTCGCTTCGGTGGCTGCAATCACCTCTTGGGCGGACGTTACTTCAATAAGGCTAACTTCAGTCTTAACTTTTAACTTAACTTCAGGCAGCTAACTTCCGAGCCCCTGGACTATTTTGCATCACTCCGCATGGCACTGCGTAACCGCATCGTTCGGGAAGGCTTCTTAGTTGGCTACTGAATTGTGGGAAGAGTGGTGGCGTCTTGATGCGATGGAAGGCACTCGCTACCCCGAGGGGTGCAATGAGAACTGCTGCGCACGGCATAACCATACGGTTGCCTTGGTGGTTTGAGAACCTTATGAACCCTGGGAGATACCGGAACCCGTAACAACCCTGGTCTGGAGATAACATATCCATCTTAACGATCGAAGGCCCTTTGAAGGAGTCGGTAGTAAAAAAATGTCCCCAGGCCCCGAAAGCGGCTATGCAGGTCCGTGAATACCCGAAACAGGCAACTCGGGCCCATTACAGTGAATCTTTAGAACCATGAATCCTAGAGTCTCAGAGATCTTGGAGCTTTTGAGGTAGTTCGTCCCCATGAGGGCGACGAATAAAGTAGATTGGTGTCACATGATCGAGGTTCACCGCGAATGCACTGAGTAATGTATATTCACGGGTAGCGCGATTTCCCCTCCCCTCCGCTCCGCGCAATGGAAGCACCACACACTGCCGTCAGCTGGCGGACGAGATACTGGGCACGCATCACTGTACAGTTCCTCGCGCACGTCGTCACAGTATTGCAAGCTCAGGTACGCTGACATTCTACCTACTGGTTCGAACCCGTGACTTTCCATTTACCGAAAGACAGCTCGATCTGGCACTCGTGTGGCGAAAAACGTTCAGCATCACCCAACGGGAGGTCGTCTTTCACATTTGGCCGCTACGTGACACTTGATCAATACGAAAGTCGCTTAATCTGAGCAAGCACCTGTGCAGCCAACGGAACACTATTTATGACTGCAACACTTCCGGAAAGCGGTGTGCACTGTCACGTGTTGCGCAACGCCGCAGCCCGGTCCGCGGACTGCGGCATGAACTAGGCCCAGTCTTTGTATGACACCTCCAGTGTCCGTGGTGGTAAAGTACAAGATAGGCCGTGGTTAACGGTATTGCGAAGTCATGGCACCGCTATCTGGTACACCGAACCGCGCAACAACGCGATGGATCAAAGGAGGCAACCCGCAGTATCACTGATGTCATGGTTCACATGGCCGACCAGCAGTACTACTGATGTGATGGTTCACATGGCCAACCAGCAGTCCTACTGATGTGATGGTTTTCATGGCTAACCAGCAGTTTCACTGATGTAACGGTTCACATGGCCAACCAGCAGTACTACTGATGTGATGGTTCACATGGCCAACCAGCGGTCCTACTGATGTGATGGTTCACATGGCCAACCAGCAGTACTACTGATGTGATGGTTCACATGGCCGACCAGCAGTCCTACTGATGTGGTGGTTTTCATGGCCAATATGTCTGAAGGAAGCGTACTGCGTATATATGCATGACATACAAAACAGGCTGGGAAAGGCTGTCCAACAGCTCTAACGCATCCGGCCAGCCTGAACCATGGCTGTTTGCAATACACTATCAATAACTATCCAGGCTACATTTGCTAAGCTCTTCTTCCCCGAAGACACTTTGAAATTGGAACCATTGACGTTTAGCATTGGTTACATCCACCAAGATCTTCACTAAAGACACCTTGATATCAGAGCCCCTGCCCTTTAGTACGCCCCAGCAATGTAATCACCATGCGATCGAGCGCACCAGCCTACAAACTACCCTACAGTCACTCCGACACTACGGCGCGTGGTCGGGCGCGCGTGAGATTCTCTAGCACTGGCGACGCCGCTCCCCGGCCGTCAGTCGGCGAGGGCCTCGATCAGCGTCCGGAAGTCGCGTACGAACCAGGGCGCGGCCGCCTCCACCGCGGGACGTACCACGTTTCCGCCGTAACCTGTGGGCGGGCGGGGAACCGTGGTGACGTCGCACATCTGGCAACACGAGAATGGCACACAAGGGCAGCGGCAGGGTGGCGAACCGTGGTGACGTCACACACCTGGCAGCACGAAAGCAGCACACAAGGGCAGCAGCGGACAGAGCCGTGGTGACGTTTTAATGTGGCCGCAAGAGGGTAGCACACAAGAGCAGCAGCAGGGCGGAGAACCGTGGTGACGTCACACATCTGGCAGCATGAGGAGAGCACACCTGGGCAGTGGCAGGGTGGAGAACCGTGGTGACGTCACAATCTAGCAGCACGAGGATAGCACACAAGGGCAGCGGCGGGGTCACACATCTGGCAGCATCAAGAGAGCACATAAGGGCGGCGGCCAGGCGGTGAAATAGGCCCAGTGGCTGAGGGCGGTAACAAATTTGTGCTTGTGATAGATGTGCTGATAAGAGATATTGACTAAAGCGTGACAAACGTCGAGCTCCTGGCTTCCGGCAGTTTAGGTTCTGATGCTGAAACTATCCGACCCTCAATATGCTAGGGTGACAACTATGACGCCCCACGCGTTAGTACTCAAGGCAAAGGGTGGAGACCTTAAGCTGGAGGGAAGCGAAAAATTTAGGTGACGCTCAAAAAATACTTCACATCAGCATCATGGGCAGCAGAATACAACTAAGGCGCATGCTCTAATCGAGCAGTAACTTCGGGTAACATCGACCCGTCGACAAGTTGGATCATACCGACGCCTCCTATTTTACGGCGTTACGCATTCGTGGCGAATGCTGTCGTGATCTCCCACCAACTGTTGCGCGGAAACTTCAACACGGCTGGACCCTTGACTGCCGACGCCGCCGTTACAACACGAACGCCCCACCACGGTCTTACACGGCCCGGGCGTCACACGCCTCCGCAAAGCAACCCAGCTGTAGCTAAGGGGCGATCTGGGCGGGTTTCTTCACACATTACTGGTAGGCACGTGACATTTAATTCAGTAACTTATGACACGTCTACAGGGTCTGCTTGGTGTTAATGGCTCGCATAATGCTCTCGATCATGCGGAAGAGCCTCGAGCCCTTTAAAATGTTTATTTACCAATAAACACGTGCGCTGGCGGAACGGCTTCGAGGTCGGTGGCGCCATCTCCGACCATGGCGACGCACCGAAGCTTGTGTTCGTCGATCAGTCGCTGGATGGCTTTGGGCTTGCCACCGGAAGCCGACGTGGGTTGCGACTCGTCAAAGCCCGCGTAGTTCCCTGTAGATCACAAGGAGTGATCACAGTGATATTAATCGCACCTCGATTGCAGGCACGAAAACAGACCCGAAACGCGAGCTTGGCTTGCCTTCCATTTGACGAGCATTTCTCCGGGCTGAACAACCGCCTGGGTATCACGAGAACGACCTGCCAGAGCTGTAGTTCTGGGGCGGCGAGTAAATGGCGATCGCTGAAGTTAGCTTTACAAGCGCAGCCAATGTGAACGACGATCGAACTGTCATATCTCCTACACGGAGTTGGCGCGCAGCACAAAGCCTCAGTGTTACGACTTGAGTGTCATGGTAAGTACGTATGGGTGCCGGGCGTCCCTCGTGCCCATGTTTAAGACAAAATCCTGTAGAAGATCAGGCATTTGTAAAAACCACGGCCTGTACGAGGCGAGAGGACATTCCAGAGCCTTTTGTGTAGGCCATGAGCAAAACAAAATCACATTCGGAAAACGCAATCCCTTCAAACGGTTTCAAGCTTTAAAAAAACTAGCGCCAGACTAGCCAAACTTTCAAACTTGCCCGTACCCTCAGCGTGACATTCACAACAAACAGATTTTGCTCAATGCCGGTGACCGTTTTTGAAGCCGGAAACCCCCTTGTGTGCACCGTCCTTTCGCCGAACTCGTGGGTTCTGCAAATTCGAACACAACCCGTCAGTCAACTGAGCCCATACCAGCCTGTACGCACCGCCTGACACAGGCGCTGATTCCAGGCAAACTAGACATTCAAAAGTTTCGGATTTGAGCTGAAACAAATACGCTCGTGATCCTTACCGCGTGGCGGATGAAGTACATTCCGTTGGTTCTCTGGTTTTGTGCCCCACGCTCTTTTAACAAAATAAGTGGAGCCGTTCCTGCATTCGACAACAGGGATGCTAATGAGTGGTGTGTCGCTTTGTTCTAGCACGACAGTTCAATTACAGACAGCTGCACCAGAGCACAGCCCGTGCGCTAATGATCTGCAGGTGGGGATGTTACCGACTTAATGATCCACGACGGGACGGTTATGACGAAATCGGGTGTCGGCACGCATTTTGCGCGTTTTGGCGTCCTGCGATGTAACTTAGACTGTTACTGCTAGGCGGGTAAATTCAAAAGATGTGTTGTATGATATTTCGTGCAGCACATTCCAGCTATGACGGGTGGCATGTAGATGCTGAGGTGGTTTTAATCCTTTGACAGTCTTGGGTAAAACTGACTTGGACGCTTTGCTAAACCACAATGACCATATTTGGCCACGGCACCATAGGTGCTCGTAAACAAAATAATAGCACAGCGCGACCCAAATCTGATCTAAAAAAGTGCGCTGTTAAATCAGCGGTGTCGCCTCCTACACTCAGATTTGTCTAACAGGAGCACTTACTTGGCAGTCAAGACCGTGAATGTGTTGTAGCAAGGACAGCAATGTAGCCGGTGAAAACCAACTGGACGGCGCAGGGAGGCATGACTACTAACCACAGCAGTACACGATTTAGCACGATATTTGGACATCCTGGATGATAATCCTCGAATGGCCTATCCTGGGCCGGCCAGAGCCACCCTATCCAGCGGGCTCGTGTTTGCACAGCCCGCCGGGACCACCAGTCGTACGGCGGGCCGCTGGTGTTGAGCACCCACCATCGAAGTCGAACAGCAGCTTGTTGGCGGTGACGTGCTGCTCAGGGATGGCGAGCAGCCGGGCGACGGGCGCGATCAGGCAGTGGAAGCCGCCGGAGACCAGGAACACGCGCACGCCGCGCCGCTGCAGCAGCAGCACCAGCTCGCTGGAGCCGGAGGAGGCGCGTCAGACGGCGCCCGCGGGCGCAGTCTCGCGCGACGCGGCGCTGCGCGGCCGACACACGCGGGCGGCGGTCCCCGGCGAAAACCGGAAGCAACGCGTTAGCAGGCAGCGGCATCCCGGCAAACACAAGCCAGCGCTGTGGCTGAACAAGACACAGTCGAGATGCTCCGCCGGTCCAGGGAACACAGCTACCGCTGAACTGCCGGAGCAGGGTTGCGATACTGCTAGCACCGGCAGCCGGCACATAAACATCACGCACGTATGTCACGAATGCAATGGATTTTTGATCGGCACATACGTAACGGTATGCCGAGTCCAGGCAGCGACAGATCCACACTAGCGTGGGCCACGCGACGAGTCGCGCCACAGGACATGCAGATAGGCGACGAGGGTACTTCACCTAATACCTGGGGACACGGTCAGCTGCTGCCGCTCGGTGAACTCGAGCAGAGCCGCGCGGGACGGCCGCAGCAGGCCCAAACGCTGGCTCAACGCGTCGCGGAACTCGAGCGCGCCACTCATGGCATGCTTCGTTCTGCGAACGGGCCGGAAGCAGCCGCGTGAGCCGGTATCCTCCCGGCGTGCAGGACCTCTGACCGCTGCCGCACGCGGCCCGCCATCACGAGCTCGGGGCGGTGACCCGGCAGTTCGGGAGAGGGTGCCGATAACACGTCTACCGATCCCGTGCTGGTGGCCGTTGGGACAGCCGCGGTCAGGCGTGCTGGGAGGGCGTCGGGTGAGGAGGGAGAGAGAGGGGCACTCGTCTGTCACCGTGGATGCCTATCGCCCGCATACTATCACACCTCCTGACTACGAGCACGATGCAACACCGGTTCTTCACAAACCACGCCCAGACAGAAGGAAATGACGCACCGGTCCCGACTGTCACCTCAGACAACCGGAACGACACGACGGATGGCCACCACGGCTTGTGCGGGCGCCGAGCCTCCACCCAGGCCTCACAACGACCCACTCGGCCGGGCTGAACACAGGAGCGTGCCGGAGAAGGAGGGGTCTCCCGTCGGCGCGGGGCGGCTCACCTGGCGCCAGGTGAGAGTGGGAGGGAGCGGACGCCGAGGAAGCGCGCTATGTCCTGCCGGGACGGACTCAGGATCGCCAGGGTGCGCTCCACGGCGCTGCGCAAGTCCATCGTCCCGCACATTGAGCTTTCCGTTCTGCGGCGACATGGTAATCTCAAGGGCGACACTACCGCCTCAGCGGTACGCGACGGACGTCTCAGGAAGGTCGCGGCCGTCTCAGGGACATCACGACCCTCTCAAGGACGTTCTGGGCGTCTCAAGGACGTTGCGGGCGTTTCAGGCACGCTACGGCCGTCTCAAGGATACCAAAGCCGTCTTAAAGACGTCGCGGCCGTCTCAGGGACGTGACGTCCGTCTCAGCGACGTCACTGCCGTCTCACGGACGTCATGGCGGTCTTAGCGTCGTCACAGCTGTCTCAGGGACTCTCCCGCGCTTAGCCGGAATATATGACCCGAAGCGGAGACGCACGCAGTCTCGCGTCGATGGGCAGCAGGCAGTCAATAAGCTGCATCCAATCATGTATCAAACCAAGACAAGCCACAGGGCTTAACACAACGTAGTCAGCATTCTGAGCACCGCAAAATAGTGGCAGCAAAGTCGCGTACTGAGGTTACTGGTCGTCGTACCAGTTGAGAGCTAGAAATGTGACAGGTCTTGCAAGAGACTTACACTCGCCCGCGACGTCGGCATATGATACTTATCTGAGCAGGTGTTACACATCGACAATCAGCAAAGCATGTAGCATGCGGTTGGTTTACACTAACAGCTATTGAAGTTGATTGCGACAATTCGGTTATCAAACGGTCTTTTGAAGTTGATTGTTATCCCCCACCCCCTTCTCACCCGGTCGCAAGAAATCGTCACATCCAGTACCAACGCTAGTAATTTGATGTCGCCGCCGAAATCAGGACCAGACGACAACAGCGGCCGGTCCAAGGCACCGGCCGGCGTGCTCGAGACAACGGCGCCGGGTCCCAGACAACGTCTGCAGACCCGAGACAATGACAGCGTACCCAAGAAAACGGCCGACGTACTCACAGCTGCGCCACCTCGTCCGCCTTGCCGAGGAACTTGGCCAGTTCGTCGACTCCCTCCTCGCGTATCACGGTCGAGTCGACGTCGAAGCAGACGGCGTCAGCGGCCCGCCAGAGTCGGCGCGCCTCCAGCTCGGCGTCGGTTGGCATGGCGGCCTCTTCTGCCGGCCGGGCGGCGTCGGTCAACTGAGGCCCGGGCCGGCACTGGGGCCCGACCGACGCGGCAGCAGCTGTTCGGGGACCGGGATCAGAGGCGGGCCATCACGCCGGCGCTGCGCCACCCAGCGGCGCACGGCCGCCGCGTATGGCGCGCACCTCGATCCCGTGACCTGGCTACATTTTGATGATTTTCCAGGTCAGGTAACAAGGGGCGTTCTCATGGCCGTTTTTGTGGGGGAATGTCTATAATTCTTAAGTCGCATGTAGTCCCGGAATGTCACTTTGCTAACCTAATCCAGGATAATGCAGTGGTTCTTATTTCAGGAAATTGTTAGGGAATGGGAAAACTATGAAATGTTTCATGAAAAATTACTTTTATATGACACATTACTTCAAACACATAATCCAAGTTCTCGACTTCTTATCCCAGTCAATCCCCAATTGTGGCTGCAAAGGCATCCGCCGTCATAGAGAACGCTGCTTTTCAGGTGACACAACAAAACCGAAACGTCAGTATCTGGACCTCCTGACATGTGGGGATTTCAAGGGCACGTTGGCTATCAAAATAAAGCCCTTGGAAGCTTTGGCCACCACCAGCAGCAGATGATAACCTTATGGCCATGTTGGTGACGTGTGTAATGTATATGTACCACGTCACCAAATACTTCAAGTTGATTTTACAGAGGGTTTGCAAATGCCTCTGCGTTAACAAAAAAGCAGCATTCACTGAACAAAGGGATCATTCTGGAAAAGACACATATAAGACTAGACTAACCAGATGAAATGAGAAATCCTGAAGCAGGAGTTGACAACAGAAACAAGAGCATGCATTTGGACCAAGCACTTGTTATTTCAGGATGGTTATATTGGGCATAATTATATTTTCTGGATCAGACTTCACACCTGACCAAGCATGGGGAAGGCATGGGCATATGATGTCAGGTGGAACAGCATGCCATGCTGCTTACATGAGCTTGTTATCATCAAGTGGCTCCATTACATATGCATGGGCCCATTACATGGACCAATGCATCAATTACTGGAACAGTTGCTGGACAGTGAAAAAGCTCAGTTGCTGTTGAAGGTATCTTGTCACACTAGTTTCTGGATTTGTTCCTTCACATCCAGATATTTCATTGCAAAAGTGAAAAGGCAATATGCTACTTCAATATGACCATGCTGCTGATACATATGCTGGGTAGTGTACAAGACAATCTAGAGCATGTTGTGGCCTAGCTCCACACTAGCCCACCAGGGTCTCTTCTTCATAGCTCTCCATTCAGTTATCCTTCTAACATTTGCTGCACATTGCTTTTGTCCAGATCATTGCAGGGCTCTAGTGCCCACTGGGTAATTCTGTGATGTTTCGGGTATATCTGGCTGGCAAAGATTGATGCAGTGATATCCAGAGCAGCCAGGATGGCTATCATCTATCACCAGGACCAGGATGGGGCAGCTTGGTAGACAGGAAACTACTTTGTTGGTGTCCATGTCAAGGTTTAGGCACAACTAAGTCCCATTCTGGGAGGACCTGCTCCTGATCAAATGTGGCCCTCCCATGCTGTGTGGCCACTGGCCCAGGAATCACAATACATCTTTTTACAATGTGCTGCAAGACAGCACAAATTAGGTATGTTATGAAATTAATATCTGCATGACCAAAATAAACTACTGTAGTCACCATTCTCCTGCATTACTGTCACCTAAATTTCACTGCCTGTACATATCTGATGTCCTGCTAAAATTCAAAACTACCCCTTTTCTCAGAAAATATTTTGTGACAGCTTTTGTACATGCACGGTTGTGTAGGAATTGAGCGAAAAGCTTGTCAACCATAAAAATGCACTAAAGACTAATTTTAGGCTGAACACAGCACTTTTCTCTGACCATATCCAGCACTGTTGCATCCTGGACTTATAATTTTAAATATGCAAAGCTGAATTCCAGCTAATTTCACTACAATGGAAGCCATACTCTCAGTTCATAATCATGAGACTAAATCTGAAGTCAAATTCAGCATACATTGCTTCCTGCAAACAAAAAAACATCTGGACTGCCCCTAAAACATATGGGACCAAGACAGGAGGTATTACAATGGTTCTGTGGGCTGATTAAGGCAAGCTTTAATCATAATAAACGTCATATGTTTTTGCTTTCATTGTTGTCTTCTGCTGGTATGCATTTGTAGTATTTGTAGTATGTAGCAAACATTTAAGGCATTTGGCTACCTGACCTTCATCAGGTGCTAAGACCAACCCACTAGTTTTTGCTTTTAAGGGTGAATGCATCACAGCCTAAAACAGATGGGCATATTGAGTGAAGTTTTTTTTTGTAAATAGAGCTGCAATAGCAGTTTGGCAATGAAGTTCTCCATTTATCTAGTCTACCACACAGCAAAGCAGCTGATTCTTCTTCCTTCCTATTAGTGGCCCATACCAGCTTGTAACATCCTCTCTCCACTATATGTTAGATTACTCATGATTGACCCAAGTCCAAGTATGAGGACTGGCCTCAAGACCACACTTTGCAATAAAAATGTTATTTAACAACTCTGCTACACAACACAAAATGCCAGTAATTTGTATTGTAGTGCCCTCACCTCACCTCAACCAAATGTCCCCAGAACAGGTCTTCATAATTCAAAATAGCATAGATCATTCATTGGCCCAGTGCATAGCTTTGCTGACTTTTACCAACTTTACATGGCCTGAGAATAGAATAGGCAAGGTTGCTAAGTATTACAATGTTTTTGCTTTTACATTCATGGCCAAATCCATCATAATCACAACATCCTAAAGACCCAGTGACAAACTCTAAGTGACAAAACTCTGGTATAAAATTCTGATATAAAAGATACAAATTCAAAATATGCACACTTTGCACTTTACAAGCATTCCTGTAATCCAGACCCATGGTTCTACCCCCAACCTCATCATTTCAGAATTTGTGATTAGTCAAGGCTGCCCTCCATTTTAGAGGGTACACACGCACAACCTTATTAATTTGGGATTTGCATACAGCGTTTCTACAACGTCCGACGTGCATAAAGCAAATAGATGGTCGCTCGTGGTGGTAGTCGCTGCCTTTCTGGCTGCCAGAAAAGAAACTCACTTATTGTTAACTGAGCAAAGGAGACCTGTGAGGTAGACCATTCAGAGTTTATCACTGGGTCTTTAGGATGTTATGCTTCTATGTATATATGTATATAAATATATATATATATATATATATATATATATATATATAAATGTGCGTGTGTGTGTGTGTGTGTGTGTGTGTGTGTGTGTGTGTGTGTGTGTATGTGTGTGTGTGTGCGTGTTACACATTTACCTTCTACAGCTGGGATCTGCTCCCACCCTGCCATAAGATTAATTTTGTCTTTAAGGTTATGATAAATAAACTGACAAAATCACCCATTAAATGACTGCATGAAATAAATCGCCAGCGCTCTTTATGTTGCAATGGTCTAATGGACTTCAGTTAAGCCGATAGAACCCAAAAAAGTTGTCTGAATTTGTATCTGGGTTGTAAAGAAACACCAAGGGTGCCGATATCTTCAATGCACGTTTCATCCTTCATTGGACATCTTCTGGAATGAAGGTTTCAGACAAAGTCGATATCAGAGTATGTTTGTAAATTTGAAATTACCTTGTGCCTGCTCTTACATGGATATTAAAACTACGTAATTAGTTTTTCTTACGAACCGGATAAGCACAAACATGTTATGACTTCATGAAATAAATTGGCTGGCGCTTTTCAATTTACAATGGTCTAGTGGGCTAGTCTTTCCAAACCGATAGAATTCAAATGCTTTGGAAAGGGGGAGTACTAACATTAGGGGAAAATTTTATTGTATAAAGTAGTCTTCTCCACGTAAAAACATACCAATAGTATATGATTTGCTAAGCAGAGAAATTGTGCTGTCAACAGCAGTCTCTTCCACTAGAGAGCATACCAACAGATTTAACATATAAGTGCGCTTAATACGTTAGATCTTATGTTTGTTTTGATATCTCCAGCTGTGGGACTTTCCCTTCAATCCAGCATGTAGTTTCACAAAACGAGAGGAAAGCAGTGGAAAATGACCCAACCTACCTCCAACCTACGCCAACAAACAGGTTTCTCCTCAAATTTGACCCATTTTCTTTCCACCGTTGGGGCAGCCCGGAATCCAAGTTGGGGGAGGGGAGGGCTGAGGCCTCTTCTCTCCAAGTGAATAGGGACGCTTTCATGTTTTCGCCCTCAGGACGAGAAAGCCTGTGCACCAGTTACGTCACGCTTACGTTAAACGAATATTAAACGAGAATCACCGGACAGTTTTGCCTCTCATCCGGCATTTGCGTCACACGCCCACCGCTCCAATATCAGTCTGGTGGCCGGCGTCGCGCGCGGGTGCCGCCGCGGTCAGGGGACTTGCAGCTTCTCTGATATCTAGGTTGGTAGACAATTTGGTAATCTGATCACAGGCTCATCTCTTAAGCTGAATCACTGAAAGAAGCCACGTATTTGTGTTCCTTCCGCGTGAAAATTGTGTTATGTTCATTGATAATTTGTACATTTTGTTCATCCTTTCCGTAAATATGAGAGCATAGAAATGTTGTGACGAGGAAGTGATAAATAAGGGCTTGATGAGCTCCCTTCATGGCAAAGTGCATGAAATGTTTACACTTACCACCCAACAGCCAGTTGTGGAATAAAAATGTTTTGTGAAACGTGTATTGTAAGGATTACTTGTAATTCCTGTCATACATTATTGCAGCTTTTAATGTCAATATCCATTGGCAGACTAAAACTGACATGATGTCTGAAAGCTCTGTACAGATGACTTCTTTAGACCCTGCTGCAAATAGAAGTGAGAAAAGGTGTTTGATCTTATCCTTCAAACCTTACAATGAAATAGTTACAGTATCGCATAGGCAATTGTGTTGCATTGTTGACACAAACCATTATTCATGAGCAGGACAGTGTTGACATATCAAGGTCAGAGAGGAGAAGGGTGGTACTTATTGATTGGGCAATCAAGAAAGTGCTGAAACATGATGTGGTTGCATCTCCAACTTTAGCTGTGCAAGAACTGTAATCACAGAACTGTAGCCATATCAGCAGTTGTGGAAGAACAGGTTCTGAAGGTGCATGACAAGTGAGCTTACATGGCCACAGGTAGAATATGTGGCCTACCTTGAGACATGGATGGTTATATTATTTTAATGCTTTGACTTGCCAAGTCACTTTTTGGCTTTTCTCTTCTTGAACAGTAAATCAGATTAACACGAGACAAGACAAGAGGCTGTAGTTATGTGGTCCAGAGATAGTTTTTATGGTCATTTAAGCATGCATTCTGTCCACTAATATGAAGATCAGTTCTCATAATTCATCCTTTCCATCACATTATTATGCATACTGAGTTGGTGTCCATTCTATACAGAACTAGATATATGTAAAATATGAGCTGTAGTCCTGCCTCCAATCAAATGGGGGTCAGAATTTGTTCCAGATACATAGAGGCAGCTCTAGTAAATGTGAAGAAGAATGATGTAAAATATTGTTGAACATAAAATGAAGTTTTGGAGCTCTCTTACAACTCTGATGTATAAAAGATCCTGAACAGCGCATGAGGGCATCAACTTGACCGATGGGAGCTGGATATTGCTCTGTGAGACCCCAGCTGGTGTCGTGAAAGAGGGTGACTTGAAGGGGTTTGGAGGGTGAAGAGGTAGTTTGAAGGGTAAAGGCCTAAAAACAAGATGATCTTTCCTGCCTCCAGTTAGGCAACATAAGCATGACAAATACTCTGAGAACCAGGTAATGCTAATTGGCATGTACCATCAGGAACTTTGCTCCAGCACAATGACTAATTTAAGCCAGCTACTGAGAACTTGATGCCACAGGCAACCCTGTCACAGAGATGGCATACAGATGGTATAGATGCTATGCAGAAGCTGTTAATATGCCTGCCATATTACTCCTGATACAACTTTAACACATTTGAGAAGTTTGAGTTCATATGACATGACCACTATCTGTCAAACACAAGCACTCATCATTCCAAACCACAGGCTGCTTTCAAAGCTTTTCAAATCTCAGGAGCACATTGCTTTGTGATGTGGTCATTTGCTGAATGCTGGCTGGAGGCCATCAGAAGTGTTCAGAGCATGTCTGGCGCGGTCCGCTGAGAGGCGGCCGTTGCGCGGTCCGTGCTGACATGACCTGCCCGCGCCTCGCCGCCAGCCGCCAGCCGCGCCCAGCCTCGGGCCACCATCAGCATGCTAGGCTACACATGGGCCGGCCTGGCCGACGCCCTGTACGGCGGCGTCGACTTCCGACTGCCGGGCAACGGCGGCGAGGAGTGCCGCGACTTCCTGCCGCCCGTGGTGCGCGTCATCGAGACGGTCATCGCCGTCGGCATCAGCCTGCTCTACGTGGCCTGGGGCTACTCGCAGGTCACGCTGCCGCGCGCTACCTCCTTCATCAGGTCAGTGGGCGGCGCAGGGGCGGCCGGCTTAGCCCGGTGGGCGGGGCGCTGAGCTGGTGCACGCGGCCGGCGCTGGCCGGGACACGCGACCGGCGCTAGTCGGGACACGCGACCGGCGCTGACCGGGACACGCGGCCGGCGCTCGGATGCACTGAGTGCCGGACACGGGGTCGACGCCGGTGGCGGGGGGGAGGGGGGGGGGGGCGGAGATGACCTTGGCGTAGGGCTAGCGCTGGCGAGATGGGAGCGCGTCTGGGCGATGTTCACAATGTCCGTGATGTTTGCAGTGTTATTGGTTTTCATGCAAGTGTTGATGGTTTGCATGTACCACGAGCGGAACGTGCTTTTATTCGACAGAGCATAAGGTTTAAATACATGTCTGAATGCAGCGTTCGTACCCTCAATGGTTTGCCGTTTCAAAAGGTTCAATGATAAGCGTCGACGTATTGCCTGTTATATTGGTCCCTAGCGTGCACTGTGACAGGTGCCCGTGGACAGTACTATCTTGTCTGTGGTTTGGAACGATTCCGCGTGCTTACGCAGACTGGTGTAAGAGATGCCGACCCCCTGTAATCGGTTGTGTATGTCTGTGCCGTTAACGCCATGAAATTGGTCGGAAATTCAGCAAAATTTGTGTTGCGAAGTTTGTCCGTCCCGGCGCGGCAGTCCGTTACGCGTTTGACGTTGGATTCGTCCACCCGTGACGGGGTGGGTTCGAGTCGTTTTAACCTTGTGCTGTTTGGTTACGACTGAGTTGGTCTGCGGCTGGTCAACATTGTCAGCAGGCCGCGTTCAACATTGTGAACTTTGAATTCGCCACGGAATTCCGTCGTTGACCTGAATTGCTCAGATGGTGGTGATGGTGGTATCGGTTTTCACGTAACAGGCACTGCTTGACATGAGCTCGGCCGTAGAGATCTATTCAGTTGCAAGGTTTTAGTCAAAGCTTTAAAGCAAGGACGAAACTGTTACGAAGTATGCATGACACAAAACACTGATCGTTCGGCTGAATAGGTCGTCAAATTGACGATGTTGTTTGAGAAACGACGCGGGAAGAAGGTGGCACAAGTCGACGCGTTGAGTGCTGGAAATGGTGCTGTGATTATAGGTCAAGTTCTGGA